GATTCGAACTAATATCTTATCTTCCTTGCAGGTGAAATCATGATCTCCGCGGCCGATAGGAAGAAGCTGTTCAAGTCCAAGCCGCGATCGGAGTCCGGCAAAGAACGACCTCCGCTTCCAACTCCCACACCGTCCGCCGAGCATGCCCAGGCGAGTAAGAAGCGCAAGGATGTGAGCTCCTCGATGGAAGGGGCTTCGCGCTCGGGGCGAGGTCTCCACCCTCAAGCCTTCATTCTTGCATGGGGACTATGAGCCTCGCCGTTTTCTGCAGAGCTTCATCCCTCCGCCAGACCGAATGGAGATAAGTTCGGCCGCCTCGGAAGACCTCGCCTCCACTCTCTTGCTCGAGTTGGGCTCAGTAAGCGTTCTTTGCTAGGGTATGACGTGCGTTTCTACCCGACACTTAGATGGATTTTAACAAATTTTGCCAGATTTTCATTGTTGTTGTAGGTGGCCATGCGCGCCCCAGAGCTGGTGGAGCGCTTCGAGTGGTATGTGGCGGAGAAGGCAAAAGGCGAAGAGGAGCTTCGGAGGTTGTAGGAGCACGTGGCTGGCCTCGAGGGGGAGCTTGCTGATGCCGAGGAGCGGGCTCGGGCTTCAGAGCGGGCTCGCACTGCTGCTGAGGAGAAGGTACGCCGCCTGGATGAGGAAGCCGAGCACGTGGTCGAGGCCTTTCAGACCTCCCACGAGTTCGAGGAGGCGGCTCTCGCCCGCATGGACGATCTCCTAAAGATCTGGGCTCGAACTCCCGTCGGCCAACGTTTCCTCTTCAAAGAGGGGCAAGCCAATTACTCCATGGGTTTGCAACGGGCTCAAGAAGTCTTGCTAGAGCGGATCAGAGATGGGAAGGAGCTACCGAAGCCATGCGAGAACCCTGAGGAGTTTGACTCATCCATCTACTACTCCGAGGACGAGGACGCCACTGGCGGGGGTGAGGACACCGCTGGTAACTGAGCGCGTCTGGGTCCACCGATAAACTCCACCCTTAGTTTTTTTTTTTGATGTACTGTTTTTTTTTGGTGCTCGAACAATGTATTTTGCACTGCGTAACTATTACCCTTGACTCTTCGTGGTTTGCGATGCCTTTATCGCCTTTCTTTGATTCTGAGTCGCGTTTTCTTGAATAAGTTTTGGAATCGGAACGGCCGTTTGGTGGAATGTTTGGGCTCGCTAATGCGGAGCCGTGCTCACGCTTGCGCTCGCCCAATCATAGACGTGCTAGCCTCGCCTCGTCGCCTAACCGAGGACGAGCGCAGGTTCGCCTTATCCGCGTAGTGCTCTGCCCAAACACCTTGGTCTTGGTGCCTTTGCCC